AAAAATGTGACATCCATGGTAGTGTAAAATTTATTGGTGAATGGACAATAGCATTTATAGCCTTTTTGAGTAGGAGAGTAACCAAGGAAGACACACTTTCTGGCTTTTGGCTCCAATTTGTGACGTTCATGATCATAAACATGAGTGAATGCCTCATCCAAATATTTTGAGGGGAATTGTGAGGACAGATCGGATTTGCGGATAGATAGTGAGTAAGATTTCTAGTGGAGTGTTAAATTTCAGAACACGAGAGGGCATCCGATTAATGAGATAACAAGCAGTAAGGAGAACATCACCCCAAAAACAGTTAGGAACAGAATTGGTGAACATGAGAGCACGAGCAGTTTCTAAAAGATGCCTATTTTTCCTTTCAGCTATACCATTTTGTTGGGGGGTAATGACACAGGAACTTTGGTGAATGATTCCATTTTGAGACAGGAAAGTTCCCAATATTTGATTAAAATATTCTGTCCCCTTATCTGTGCGAAGAATTTTGATTCTCGTATTAAATTGATTATGAATGAGAGAATGAAACTGTTGAAAGATTGATGCAGTTTCTGATTTTTCTTTAAGTAAATAGACCCAACAAACCCTAGTGTGGTCATCAGTGAAGGTAAGGAACCAACGYTTACCGGACATAGTTTTGATGCGAGACRGCCCCCATAAATAACTATGAATCATTGTGAATGGACTGGATGGTATATACTCAACAGAAGGATAAGATGTACGAGAGTGTTTTGCAAGTTGACACACTTCGCAAGTAAAAWGGTCATCTTTATGAAAAAGTGAAGGGTACAAATGTTTAAGATACTGAAAACTCGGGTGCCCTAAACGGCGATGTAAAAGTAGAATTTGTTGTTCCCTAGAATTCGACTCACTACCAACCTGGAGAACTTGTTTATTTCTTAGACTTGGTCCTCTGAAGTAGTAGAGCCCTTCAAAGCCATCAGCACTGCCAATCGTCGTTCCCGTTATCAAGTCCTGAAACAAACACTTAGAGTCAGTGAACAGGGCTTGACACTTTAAATCATGAGTCAACTTCTGAACAGAAATTAGATTGCAACATAATTTAGGCACATRGAGCACTGAGTGCAATGTAATGTTTGGGCTAAGAATAACAGAACCAAAGCCCTTAATAATGGCCGATGACCCATCTGCAAGCTTGACATGTGTCTGAATTGGGTTGGGTGAGTACATGGTAAACATATCATGAAAAGCGGTCATATGATCAGTTGCACCCGAATCTAAGATCCACTGATCGGAATGCTGCTGCCTTGTTAAAGCTGCACTAGAAATACCTCGTTGTGCCACAAAACTTGACGAAGGAGTAGACTCAACCGGCAGTGTTAAGAGGCGATAGAGCTGTTCAAGTTGTGCCTTCGAAAATGAAGGGAGAGAGATGGCCAAATCTTAGGAGTTTGACACACTAGGGCTCACTTGATAGCCGGAGGAGCTGGTTCGAGAAGATGGAGTATTTGTAGGTGGAGGTGGCCGATAATCCCCTGATAAATTCTTCCGTTGAGGACGACCATGGAGTTCCCAACACCGATCTTTTGTATGGTTTGTGCGCTTACAATGATCACACAATAGGTTGTTTCGACGGTGGTGGACCTCGTGCCGCCAGAGCTGATGATTCCAGTGAGAGGGACAGAGGTTTTGTGTGTGTATCACCCATCATCACACGTTTACGGCTTGACTCCCAGCTAACTTCTGCGAAGATTTCGTCAATGGCTGGGATTGGCTTTGTGGCAAGTAAGCGGCCACGCACATCATCTAATTCCGGACGAAGACCTGCAAGAAAATCATAAATTCGTTCCTTCTCGACGTGTTTGCGGAAGCGTTCAGCATCCTTCGAGTTCTCCCATTCGAGATTGAGACATAAATCAAGTTCAGCCCACAACCTACGTAATGAGCTGTAGTATTGGGTGACGTCGGATTCACCTTGTCGTAAGGAACGTGCCTTATTGTGTAATTCAAACAATTGAGCCGAGTTATCAAAATCAGAAAAAGCCATAGTGAGTGCATTCCAAAGATCCTTTGCTGTTGAGTAGAAGATGAAGGATTCTTTAATGTCCTCCTCCATCGAGTTAATGAGCCATGCCATGACCATTGAGTTTTGTGCATCCCACACGGAAAAAGAAGGGTCAGCTTCATCTGGTTCTGCTATCGTGCCATTGATGTACCCGAGTCGACTGCGGCCACGAATAACTAGGAGGGCCGATCGAGACCATTGCAGAAAATTTTTTCCGTTGAGTTTTGGAGAGGTAATTTGGAGCGAAGTGTTTTCAGAGATAGAGATGTGAGGTGTCGTGGATGTGCTTTTAGGGAGAGAAATTGAGGTCGTATTCGATCCGTCGGAACTCTCATCCTTGCGCACATCAGTCATCATGGCTGTTTTAACCATTCTGGTGTCAATATAAACCTAGCTCTGATACCATAAAAACTAAGGATAGAGACACCAGAGAGACATACACGAGAAAAGAGAGAAGRAAWAAATTCTCAAATTGATTGATCAAAGATGAGGAATAGAGGCACTATTTATAGGTTACAAGAGGAAACAAAATCTAGGAATAACCTTCTAACTTTCCTAACAAAAAAGGAGATTTATTTGCTAAATTTAAACACAAAATCTAAACAACTTTRAAACAACTTCTAACTAAGTCCACATAATCTTAACTTCTAACTAATTCAACAGATGCCCAACTCTCTTAGTGGGTTTTTCCAGGGAATCAGTTATGGCTTCCTTATCGATGACATAAAAGATGAAGTTTGGAAAATTACCGAGATCGGTGTGATCGATGGTACCTCAGCCTATAATGTAATCCTCAGAAGGACTTACATCCATGATCTACAAGCTTTACCATCATCTTATCATCAGACGATGAAATACCTTACTACTGATGGGATAGGGGTGGTCAAGGGAGAGCAAAAGGCTTCACGGGAGTGCTACGCCACAACATTGAAGGGCGTTCAAACCTGTGTCGCAATACGAGAATGATCTCCAATCCCGATCTCAGCAAGTGGTGGAGTTCTTCAAGAAAAACAAGTACAGGGAACCGAAAGCTAGGGCACCTCCAAAGAAGAGTTGGATCAAATACAGTTGGGATCAACTGAGAAGCAAGTTGCATTGGAATGGGGATGCTAACCCTATTACGATTTGAAATTGTTAATTTTTTACAAACAAATTCAGATGTATTCGCTTGGTCCCACGAGGACATGTCGGGGATTGATCATAATGTAATTGTTCGCAAGCTCAACATAGACCGGATTATAAGTCGGTTTAACAAAATAGTCGATTTGTGGACGCTGCTCAGAGTGATGTTGTAACGCCCCAGGATTTTAAACATCCCAAACGGGGACCGTTACTAAAACTACCTAAAAAATTTCACTAAAGCAAGAGAATTAATCTCAACAACCATGACTAAGCCAGAAAACTACAACACTTCCAATGCACTTGTTGCGCCTCTGTTTAATAGCTAGAGGATAAGTGCAAGTGCACACTGTCACAAGTGATAATCTGAAAATATTCCAAGTTCGTCTCCACATGGACTAGTTTTCTTTTAAAATTGATTTTGTAAATTGCTTGAGTGAGCAATCGGGTTTGGGATATAAATTGGTAAAATTGTTCGGAACACGATTTAAAAACACATAGATTAAAAGACCATAACCCCCTACTAAAATTTAGTTCTAAAAAGATGAATTACACCTACCAAATGTGCCCATAATTAAGCTCAATTTATGCAAACCGGTTCAACTCCTATTCCATACCGCTTTTGGTTTGTTTAGAAGCTTAGGCTAGCGTTTACATATTTGTATGCAACTCTAGAATTCTAAATAAATCAAGTTCCAACTTATGTTTAACGGGTAAAAGAGCCTATGTCTAGGATCTTGTTTTAGTTCTTATTTCTAAGTAACTTCCCGTTTTCCCTTGATGAAATCCGTTTGACTCTAACCTTTTCAGAATTAAATTTAAAGTAATGTTATTTAAACAAGTGGCCAACAAGAAAATCAACTGGATAAATTATATCAATCTAGATAAGCAAAAAGCGTAATACGCCGTGCTCACTGATAGATGTAATTTAAAATAGATGAACTCAACCATTCGTAGGAGGGTTGAAGAAATAATTTAGCTACTCATGGAAGTGAAAGTAATGAAAACACAAGAGAAGATAACAAAAGAATGCATTTTAACTGAAGTTGGGAAGAAAGTACAAAATGGAACAAATTGAATTGTAATAAATAAACAAGAGTAATTGCAAAAAATTTATTGAAGAACAAAATTAAAAAACGAAAGTTGATAACAAAGTAGAAAGGAGAACAAATGCATGGAAAAATGAGATGTCTTGAAGTGATACTTGGAAGCTCCTTTTATAGGCCATGGAGGTAACAATATATTGAGAAATGCATGGGGGGTTGGAACCAAATGAGGTTGTCAAGATTTTAGGAACTAATAACAAATATTGGATCAATTACTTGGTCAAAAGTGGTTATTCATGTTTTGATCATCTAGGCATCAAATGTGGCTGAAGCACTATGAAGCTGGATCTTTCCAAGCAATTTGGCTAGTGCATTCCTCTAGTATGCTGGAAATTCTGGGCATGCGATGCTTGACGTGTTGTGATCATCAAACTTCACTTTTCCTTACAAAATAAACATATTTACACAAATTAGCCTTCATTTGCCCATAATGGAATTCCAATGTCCTTAATCACAAAATATGCTCATTTTCCCAAAATTATATGCATGAACATAAATTTTTCATCCCAAATAACCATCAACTAAGTATGTAAACCTACACTTTTTAGCCTTTAATCAAGTCTTATCAGCGCTACTCTGATCTAAACACTCACCACAACTTAGATCCGAGAACGTAGTGAGTTTCGTGACGCTTTCTTCATTCTAACTACATTTGACGGTGACCCACACCCAAACAAAGTTCGGTTCGTGGCACACACTTTTGTTCGAAGCCACACCGGTGCTTACCACCCTCTTCGGCATCTGTTTGGCACTTACCCATTCTTGAATGAAGGTCGATTCGAGTTACCCATTGCTTTTCGACATCAAACCAGCAAGCCCGAAGCCTTTCGAACCCGATTTTGGAAGCCTGAATCTCTTTGGAAGTGACCCAACCATAACCTAATTGATTCGGCATGAGTTTGTAGTTAACGAATCACCCAAACTTGGATTTAAAAACCTTTCGGTGAAGCTTAGGAGCGTTAGGACCTAGTTAGTAAGTAATTCTTACTTGAAGGGATTGTTTGTTGTATGCTGCTATGAATTGGTTGTTTGTGTGTCCTATGAGTGTTGTTTGCATGATTGTATGTGATTGATGTTACCTTATAAATGTTGTTGATGATATAATTGTTGAGTACCTGTAGTTGTGGGATATATTGTATTATGAGTTAAGACATGTTGGATGTAATATTGGTTGACTATGTGGATTAACATTATGTTTTGAATGGGCTGTAATGTAAAAGTTGTGATACTGTTTTGGTTTTATGATTTATTGTGTTTGTAGTATGCTGGCTTTGTTGTGTGACTCGTATTTTTAATGAAATATTGAAAACTTGTTTGGTAAGATGTATCTTGACTTTCTTTCTTAATTCGAAGCATGCAGAATGTCGAGAGAAAGATATTCTTATTATGTTGGACTATTATGATCTAAACATTGATAAGTATGTTGCATGCTGAATTCGTTGTGAGTTGAATGTTACATGGGTCATGATTTAGAAGAATGTAGGAATCTGGTGAAAGTTAAGGTTTTCTTGTGAAGTGAATGGGTGAGTATCAGGGCCAGGGGCTGATATGTCACTAGTTGGGTATCGAGGCTCCGAGTACAAAGGTCGGGGGTCAATACGTCAAATTGTGGACAATGATAATTGTCGAGGCTTCGGGTACAAAGGTCGAGGGTCGATGCGATGAGTATTAAAGAAAGGCAACTATTGGGGCCTTGAGAGGAAAGGACAATGGCCAATATGTTGCAAAGTCATC